GGTTTGAGGTTTGGCAGAAAAGAATATCCAGATAAAAGTAACGCTAACGATGCTTAGGCAGAAAGTTGCTACATGTATTGTACCTTGTTTTGTTTTTGTCGATGTTTATGCGACATTCTATTATCATCCTCGAATATCTACGCAAATAAACTAGAAGCTGGATTTATTTTTAGAGGGGACAACTGACCTGTAAATCACGTTAACAGAAGCAAACTATTTTACCGAAGTTCGGCTTCCAGGTTTTCGATCTCCGGAATCAGTGTCTTCAGCTGTGCCGCCAAATCAACCACTACGTTCTTGAAACTTTCTCGACCAGCTGCCACAGATTGTTGCTGTTCCTCCCTTAATTCGACGCATTTTCTTAAATGACGTTCAGATCTTACGTGTAACAAGAAACTTACGTCAAGGTCACTTTCTGTCGCTTCATTTCGTACCAACAGTGGTCCTTCTTGAGATCATTAATGTAAGGATCTGCAAAAATTTACATACTTAAGACACAGGAAGAAAGAATAAAGATTACTTGGCCAAATGTCAAGATTCGACATGTCTGAACTGCCGTCGTCCACGCCGTCATTATGTGTGTCTAAAATCAAGAAAAGAAACCATAAAATCGAAAACAATAAAATCAATTATTAATCCAGAGAGAAGAGATTAATAAAAATGTTAACAGAAGAAAAGAAACCCAAAAAACAAAAAGAGCGATCTCTTAGTACACCAGAACAAAATCTTAAATCAGACTTATTAATTCATAATGTATTAAAATTAAAAGTTTGTGCTAAATCAAAAAACTTCATGTTACATTTTTGTTGTGTGAAGAAATAAGGAATCTCAAACGGCAAATGAATGGACTTGTTTTAAGCAGGTGCGAAGAGCAGTGAACCGCAATAGTGCCTTTCTCTGTCCTAGAAACAAGAAGTGCTCAAGAGTGATGACAAAATGAAGGTACCAGTATTTGTTAGCTCTGTGCAGACGTGAGACGGGGAAGATCGGAGTAGAAAATACAACCATATTTCACGCCAATGTGCACTGAGAAAGGCCAATAGTGATGCGGATGTTGGGGAGGTGACAAATAATGACAGCGGCGTATAATAATATGAAACAATAGGAATAATGATAGCGGCGATGACAGGGAAAATGACAGCTGCATTTACCTGCCTACTTATCCAAGGAAAATGTGGTAGACGGCGCAAAAGAACCTTTGCACAAACAGCTAAAACAACTTTAAGTCTTACAATCTTATTCTGCTAGTCATCTAAAGGGATATCAATATCCGCATTTATCCCTCCCCCGTGAATGAACTGAACACTAGAGGTATCCTTCACAGCTCAGAAGATTATCTGGAGGGTGAGTAGCGATCTAATTAAAGGGAAACATGACAAGTAGGTCTGAATAGATGTAATTACTCTACTGAGTAGCCGTCGTAATCATATAGATTTGACAACAACAACAAAAAACGGTAAGGGGCGTAAGAACTCACCGTCAAGCATCATGCCTAATCTTACCTTATTTGCATACAGGTATTTAAAAAATCCGCCCCTAGGGTTACCGGTTAATGCTTAATTACCAAATGCATTACATTCGGTTATGGCGAAAGAGGATTCAAGTGCGTCAAGTTCAAGAAAGCTTGTAACACAGCATCCCTATTTCGCAAAAAATTTCATCATTGACCATCATCAACTAGAGTGGCATTGCAGAACTGTGTTATTCATATTCATTATATCAACTTGCTACACATAGAGCTAAGTATAACATTTATGGGATTGCTGAATCTCTAATCGAAGCCTGGATCAACACCTTACAAACATTCCTCAGGGTAGAGCTCATTAGATGTGCGAAAACTACTCACCGCAGCTATTCTGGAGGAAGGAAGATTTATGTTTGAGCAGCTGGATTAGTTAATCACCATCTGGGCGTACTGATAGCAAGCTTTAACCTGGAAAACCTGTGAGAAACGGAAGAAAAGGTTTGAAGCCGATGAGAGTCGGTCTCTTCAACAGGGTACAGATTGGGCGCTGTTTGCTGTCATATTCCTTCATGGTTATGGGGGCTGATCTCTTTCGATACTATCAGTTCAAGAGTCATTTTTCGAAGACCATAT